CCACCACACCACTACTTCCGCTTCCGGTACTTCGTCTCTTGTCTTCTCTGCTGTTGGTTCTTCGGACTCTTCTCTGAACGCCGTCGGTGTGMCCATTCATGGATATAGGTTCACTAACTGGATTTGCAGCTCCTCTTCTTGAATCTATTTATTTTTTGAAAATATGCCGTCAGATTTGAAAAAATTCCTACTACACAAAAATCTTTATAATATATTTGCTATTATAGATATGAGTAAGCTCACAAACTAAAAATACTTACTATAGAAGGGAAAAAGAAGAGAGGAGAGGAGAAAAGGGGAATAACAGTTTGCTCGCTTGCCTTTTGTATCAGCGGTAGCCACCATTTTACCGCCATTCATAAAACCTAATTATCTGATCTGACGCGCGCGCAATTTAAATCGACTGCTTGATAGTTCGTCCGCCATTTTGTTTTCCTCTCAGTTCTATCATCAATATTATTGTTTTTTCCCCTCCATTATTGCCATTTTCGGGAATCATTTTACCTCAAGAAGACGTTAACTATTTAAACGTAAGTACAAATATTTTATCAATTTACTTTTTTCTTTTTAAAGGTTGAAAATTTTAGACAAAGCTTAGGCATTTTTGAATGGGGTCCTAATAGAACCTCGATAAGTTTAGGATAAAAATTGTATACCTCGCTCACTATGGTTTAGTTCTTCCATAGTTCTTTGCAAATGTCTTCTTTCTTCTTCTTCTTTTTTCCTGCGCCATTCTCGGTCAAATTTGTCTTTTTCTCGCATTTGTAGTTGTTTAGCCACTTTCTATAAATTAGATAATTTTCTCATTTAAATTATGAAAAAAATCGTCAATGCAAGAGTACGAAAGTAAAATATTTTATGTAATGCTAATGATGATGATGATGATGATGATGGTGCATTCTTATTTATGAAAATAATCCATAAATGTGAAAGTACATGAGGATAAAATATTGTACATTATAAATTATAATAATTATATAATAATCAATGAGATGTTAATTGTGTAAAATGCTTACAGCATCATGAGTCTCAATTTCTTGCTGGTGTCTTATTGCTCTTCTTTCCTGTAACAAAAATACAAATTAAATTATTTAAAAAAATCAATAAAAATGTCAAAAAAAATTAATATTCGGATTTACTATTACGTTTTTAGTGTGGGTCATCCTACTTTCATTACAATGGCCTGTAAGGTTTTGTTCACATGAAAGTACAGTGCCCCTACTGATAGTTTTAATTCTTTTGTTTTTGGTATACCTTGGGAAATTAGTATATGTAATAGGACTCCATAGAGGAAAATTCTGAGGACTTCCAAAGTTGGATGAGGCCGCGATAGGCCAAATATTTCTTGATTGGGGAGCATGAAATCCCATTACCTATTAATTATATAGCTGGCTAATTAATCYCATATCAACAAGACCTGTCCAATTAAGAAAATAATTGGACAGTTACCTATATGGGATTAATAAGAAGCTGTATAATTAATGATGGTAATTGAACTGAGTGGAGTGCAATTTGGTCTGAAATCAAACGCGCGATTACAAAATCGCACGACGGCATAGCGGGAGTGCGATTTGTAATTGCAAGTTTGATTTCAGACCAAAATTGCACAACACAAAGTTCAATTACCACTTAATCATATCCTTTTTGTAATCATACACAAGAAAAAGACACAATAAAGAGTGCAGGATAATCAATTTAATGTAGTAGAAGAACTTAATGCGAACAAAAAAACATATTTTTTGTTTTTTTTTGTTTTATTTTGTTTTATTTTATTTCTTGAAAAAAAATTGGGATGCGATTAAGAGCTCCTAAGGATGCGATTTGGGAATTAATCACACTCCTTTGGACCAATCAGATTGCAGGATTTGGTAGTGATTACAAAAAGGATATGATTAAAACTGTAATAGACTTGTCCTTATCATGTRACCCTATTTTGAAATTCTAATTCTCGAGAAATTATTATTACTAAGTCAACAAATATATCACAAATCTAACCTCAGTATTCTTTATAAAATAATTATGAGATAAAAGGTTAAATTTGGTAAGGACTAGCTTGTACCTGATTATTGCATTATCTAAAGCTTACACATTTTAATGCTACTCTATTAGTGATTAGGATTGTTTTGTWATTTGAACATCATGAAAATAGAGTTTTGTATAATGCAGCAAATTCTGAAGAAGGCTATCAGAACTACAGCTGAAACACCAGCACAAGCTTCAATATGTTTTTAAAACTGAAAAAATCTATTTCTAGACTGTTAAACATGGTAAACAATCACACAAAGACATCAAAGATAATAAATCTAAGATTAAAAAATCCATTAGGCTTAACTCACCTCATCATGCAGCTTTTCCTGGAGATCCCTAGCAAGCCATTTATCAGTTTCTTCCCTRACACAACATAAGAAGAGTATTAGTATTATCAAGAATGTAAATAACAGATACAGGTCTTTATAGTGTATTACCTCGAAATGAGATTATATCAAGAATATACTCTGATTATGTTTCACATACTCTACATCTTAATGTCTGAAATGTGGTTGTGTGCAGAAATAGTTAGGACAAAATTGTATTTCTTTCGCATATATTTACAAATTTCATTAGCCAAGCTCTCGCACAACTAGTGCATCATCGGGGCAACAACTAATACTGTTCATRAATTCAAATGATAACAAAGTTGATCTAGAATTTGTAGCATTAACCTTTAAAAACAGACTCTAAGATGATCTAATTCAGAACACACCTAAGTCTCAGATCAATTTTGAATTTAGTATGTTGGGTTTTGTAGAGCTGGGACGAATATAAGAAAAGAAGGAACAGTGGATAGTGCTATCCGATGGATAAATCATTTTCAGCGGATAAATTAATTGGATAACAGCATTGACTTATCTACTGGATAAGGATTTATTCTTTGGATAGCGCTATTCACCCTTCGTACAACCAGGCCCAGAAGAAAAAGCCTTGAATCAAGGGAGACACCCAACAAACTCAACTTACATGTGATGTTGAATTCAGGAATTGAACATGAGACCCCAGAATTGAGAATTGAGTGTATTACCACTATACCTCCCTTTATTCCCATTAATAATAGTTATTTCAAACTCACATTTTACACAGCTCGTCTTCTGGCAAGAGCTGTGCTGTTTTTATTTCCTCSAGATAAGTTTGCTTGGCCACACGAACATCAGTTCGCACACTCTTTCTTTCATTTCTGTTCATGCCGTAATGCTTTTGGACTGAAAATTTAAATAAACCACAACAATTAAGACATCAATGCAAGAGAATTAAATCAATGTTGTTAAAAAGTATTTTAAATCTGGGATTTTTTTATTTGGAAACTAGAAACCAAAACTCTATTTTCCTTTCATTTGGTTTTGTTTACAAGTTTCAAATTACATTTCACTTTGTTAATAATTACCATTTCAAATTTTACTTAATTCACTTAATCCACTCTTTTTTTTCAAAATGATCATTATGTATATAACTCAAAAAAATGGCAGAAAAGTAGAATGAAATATATGAGTTATCTTATCTAATATATTACTCAGCCAAAACTTTCATGTTAATCACCGCAATTTTTCATTTTCACGTTCGAGCCCTGAAAACCCTTCACTTTTATTGAATAACCCTGAAAAAAACTCTCTGCTGATTGAAGTTCTCGTATGACTCACTCACAGATTGAATTGGAATTTAACTCCTAGATCAAATTCTAATTTTTGTTAAACACTGATAATATTGCATGATGATGTATAATTATTCTTGAATTTGTGATGARGGATTAGGTAAAAAGAGTATTTGTTAATGTTTGGTACAAAAATATTTGATAGTTTTCATATTCATAAATGTAATTMGATAGTATCTTTTAAATTTATTTTGGGAGTTAAGTTTTATTTAAAATTGTGACATGACATAGCTAGTATTGTATTACTAATGGTTTTAATGCCAAAGATTGTGCCATTTTCCTTCCTTCCTTCCTCTACACTTGTATAACCAAATATCATAAAATTATCGAGCTTTTAGCTTTAGTCTTTTTTCAATCATTAAATTTTTGGTATTAAATTTTTTGAACTTTATCTGTGATTTTTATATATAAAAATAATGAGTGTTCTTTTAAATTTAGGATCTAACTTAAACCTTTCTAAAGAATAATCTAAATCTAGAAAATAAACATTATTGCAAAGGATAAATGGTACAATTGAAGATAAAAAAATAAAAACATATATATTATAAACCTACATTCTTCTTCTTGTAGTTTATTTGCCAATGCTCCATCTTCCCTTACTCTGAAGTCTTGACAAACTAGGAATGAAAATCAACCACATTTTAAGACTGAACAATGTATACTTATATACTACACCACAATAATAAGTAAGGCATTTTTGAAACATTATGTCATACTCTATGGGTTATAATATATTCAAACAGTAATTCAGAACAAGGTGAGTCAACAACAATGACAGCATTAAKTCCATGTGGAATTGGGACTGTTACCGAAAAAATGAAGCTATCATGGTTTTTTATTATACTGGAGGTTCTTAAAAAGCTTTGTAGCACAATATTTTGTATTTAAAAACCACAAAGTCTTGTTCAAAGTTAATAGGAAAATTATGTACATTATCGCTTTGTATCTTTCTCTATGCTACCTATACATCAAAATAAAGCGATAAACATAAAAAATTCAAGAGAAATACTGGTTATTCTCTAAGTCCTAATGAAAAGTATAATATRTATGATATATTTTTTTCATTTTGCCCAAGCACGTTTTTTTGCATAATTTGGAACTTTGGCTTGGCTGTTTCACTTGGTTTGTTGTAAGCTACGCTTAGTATATTGAAACAGTAACAATGTCTGTCATACTATAAAGGATGTTTTTACGATATTTATYTAACTCCCTAATATTGTTCCTCCCATCCAAGCATTACTAAACTGAAATGGGATATAAATGCAATAGGAAATAAATGTTCAAAACCAATTCTCACCGTAAAATACCGTTGCTTTTGAACCTGGAAGAAATCTCTGTCTAACAACATGTGATTGCATCTTCAAGCCCGTCTCAAAAACAGCATTCAAATATTGACTAGTAACTCAACAAAAACTTAAAAGAACACAGAAAAATTCCTACAGAACTAGAGCCAGTGGAGGTGTTAACTTTTTATCCCTAGCTTAGCAATACAATATAGAGTCTATCTGCCATAATARACAAATGACAATAAGCTGCTTGGACGTGTTAATTTGTGCAAATACATGCACATATTAATTGATGTATTAGCATCATAATAAATATTTCAAGGTGTAAACTCTAGTCATATTCCTTTACGGAAAAAAGGGATTAAAAAATCTATAAAATTCTAAAGGTTATCTTAATATTCTATTTTAATCTTTGTGTATAAGGGGACATATATTCAGCTGTATTGGTTAAAACAGAATATTTTAGCTGTCCATTTGCTGATTTTGTTTACATGATACCCTTTGTTGGGGAGGGCAGGTGGTCTGGGCAAGGACACACGCAACCAGACACTGACAAGCACATGGAAATATTCCTCATGACAACACTATTAAATATGATTAATTTTGTGGTTTTTAAAACAATAACAAAATAATATTTCAAGAGAGAAAAATTATATTCTTTTGTAGCTGTAACACAAACTGGTCTTATTCTTTCTGTTTACTTCAGGATTTACTAGAAGCTAAAACTTAGAAAACTAAGGCTCTTAAATTATGTATACAGACAGTCCAATCTCAGATTATTTATCATCACATAATTTAATTAGATTAAATAAAGATWCGAAGAAATAGGAAAATTATAAGGTTTTTGAAGCAATGGTAAATTTGAYGTTAAATTGATTTAACATTCCTGTGTACCCCTGCCTGCTATTGTGGCTATCATGAAGTAACCAAAAATATTTAAATACAATCAAATACAATTTAACTGGAAGTAAACCAAATTGAATGTTCTTTAACCCCAAAATCCTTCTACTGGAACAAAATGACAAGCTACAGGGCAAGGCCAAGGTTATAAATTTTAAGTCAAGTAAAAGCATTAAGTAAACTCAACATTAATACAAGAATTTTATTATACATAAATTGTAGACCAAAATGTAAGAGTTAAAAATCATCATCATTGTCATTTCCAACAACAGCGTTGACGATAATGATGATGATGATAAGAAATTTCTAAAGTGCCATTCCCCAATTGTCCAATGGAGCTATATATCACATATAAAATTTTTGAATCTTTTAAAAAAGTTTGTTGTTATAAACTCTCTTTTTAAATAAGTATCAATAGATAGTCAGTGTTCATCAATAATCATAAAGATAATAATTATAATGGTAATAATAATAATGATAATAAAATTCATAATGATAAGAGTTGTGATCATCATGATCATTTTCCTAGATTCATATTTTCGAAAACAAATATGACAAAAGTAATAATTCTTTTTAATCTCATATTGATTGGCATATCAAAACCTGGATTAACCAAATTTTAACATATTTTATCTTTTACATTCAACATAAGGATTATWAATCAGGTAAACTCTTGAGTGACTGCACAAACTTGTGACCTTCAACTTTAAGCATTGGAAGATTGATTCACTGCCAGTAGCATGATACCTATATAATAACGAATCTATTTACAACCCCTGCTGTGCAAACCTCATTTATAACTTCATTATTATTAGAGATTATGTTATAATTAATGTATTTTTCAGCTAGTATGGCTAARAAGCTGTAACTTATCTTAACTTGCAAGACTATTGCAAAGATAAAGTATTGTTTAAGTCAGTCTTATGAATTTTTCGTCTGAGGTTGCTGCGTGCATTAATGCTTTCTCGATCAGCACCACATTAGAATAAACACAATCTTTGCTTGCCCTTGATTGATCGATAATAACCTTTGCGTTCAATAGTAACATAAAAAGAAAATCAACATTTTTTTTGCGGTTAATGGTTCATTTAAAAGAGATACTTCAGGTAGAGAAAGCAAGTCATTTTTGCTGAACGTAGAGAACCGATAATGTACATAAATGAATCGTTGTTACAATAATAGTATAGTGTTCATTGAGGGTCAAAAAAACAACTAAAAGTTTCTCGGATGTCATAGTCCATCTTCATGACTAAACCTGCTGATTTKATCACTATCTCAAAGCCAAAAACACAAATATCTAAACCAATATTCTCCTGAAATTTACTAGTCAAGTAAATCGACGTGAAATCCACAAGTAACGGATTTGAAATTATCATTCATAATGGGGGACAACAGCTATATATGTTCAAGTATCTACTCTTAACAAAAACCAGAACACAAGTGTTATCTCTGGGACCCATGCCAATATCCATTTTAGGTGAGACAAAAAGCCAGTATTCGGTATTAACCATTGCTGCGTCGTAGGAGACTATCGTTGATGGAGTCAATAATTTTTTCGCKACCACTAAACTTTAATTATTGCACTGAAATCATATAAAAAAAGCTAGCGAAAAAATGCTTCGATTAAAAAAAAGCCTCAAAATATATCTGATCTAGCATAGCAACGTGATAAAATAATTTAAGCGATTCAATATCTTGTCATTCTGGATTTACTCAATATATTCCTACCGAGACAATTATAAGCCTCAACGCAAACTCGCTTATACAAAAAAAAATTGCCGAGCAAATATAAAATTCATGATCAATGGATGCCTTCACTGAAGTGGTAGAAATAATTTCTGGATTAATGTCGGCCAGTCTTTCATTTATGTAAAGTACTGGGCAAACGTTTCAGAGTTTGTATCTAGAGATTATAAACATGGTGAAGATGAATTTTACAAATATTGAGTCCTGAGTAAACTTGAGTTCGCTTCGCGATTATTTAAAGCTAAACTGACCCTCCTTATTTTTCGGTGGTAAGAATAAATATATCGTATACTTATAGAGTAAAGGAGCGGCTTACAAATTTTCTGGATCGAACCGATCATGGGAGTCTTCACGACAAGTCGAGTCAGCAACAAAGTGCGACTACGACGAGTGTTCTGTAACCAATCAAGCCTGTATATAGATATACCTTGAGCACAACTATGGAATATTCAAGCCATTTTAACGCCAAATCGCCCTCAAAACTCACCTTTGTTTACAGTAACCTTTTCTTCTTCGTCCGTGTCATTCATTTTCGTATAATGGAGACAAAAATCACAAAATTCCTAGGCTACATTTGACAATTAAAGTGTTCCTTCGATTAACTCACGACCGCGGTGCTTCTCGATCGTCCCCCGTTTCCGTCTTGTCTTTGTTGACATCCGGGGATTCTATAGTAAAACGACCCGATTGGACAAAAAAAACAATGGGGTATATTCGAAAATATTATCATTATGCTTCACTCATACTTTTTCTATATATATTATATATGAGTAATATTTTTTCTTTGGTTATCAAGGCACGATTTATTCTRCATTTTCTTAAGTCATAGCTCCTAGTCATGATGTATGGAAATGTTCGTATAATGACATGAAATATTGTCAAAATCACCCTCAGGGGTGGAGGGTGTGTATTTCCGTTTTGGCCCACCTAATTTCCGCGATACGCTTTTATCTACCATCGTAAATTCCTTTATAGAACGTGCCTTTAAGTATCTGTTATTATACATGACAAAACATTCAGAAGGCCTTTCAGTACACAGATATTCCATTTCTAAGTACCCCGATAAGTACCTCCATACCTTACTAGGGGCAAGATTACACWGATACTTCCCAGTGAAATGATTCTCAAGGAGTCAGAAGATCCTCGAGATAAATATAGGGCTTAAAAACCGAAAGCAAGTAGACAGCATAAACAAAGAGATTTCCTGGATTAGATTAGTCTGAACGAGTCAAGCGTCATATTTTCTGATATGGTATAAGTAATTGCTGGTCAGGTAGTATGTTTGTGAAAAGCGATTGTGACGCACTGACTCTCGGTTCCCACCATAGTTAATCCCACCATGGATGTCAGTTTGCAACCATTCCAGACTTCCCTCAGTCGCTTGCTAACTTACTTAAAGTGAGCGTGGACAGTGAGGCAGGCCTCGAAGGAAATTTAAAGGGGCAAGCACTAAAGCTGAGAGATTTAAAAAAAGTCTTCCTCGTCAAAAAGAATTGAAGATTCATATTTTCTTTTCTGATTCCATTTCCGAGTTCCAATCGCACTGAAGACATTCGCTTTTTATACTGCTCACTCTCTTGCGTCGATCTCTTACTCCGACTAAGTCAGTGAAAACCTTTTCCAGCCTAGTGCGAATGGGCCTAATATAAGTACCGCGTCGATCGAACTTTGTGTATTTGGGCGTGAAACCAATACATCCGCTCTTTCATTAATAACACCTACTTGTTGTTTACAGGATTAGTTTCCTAAATAATTAGTCTCGTCTAATGGCCATGAAAGTAGGAAAAGTGATTGAATAAATTTTTAGGGAGCATGGCTGCGGGTATAGCTGTGTTTTTGTGTGCAATAGCCTACCACAAAGTCGACCTAGGAATCGATCCTAATAGAGACACTAGTCTATTGTGAATAGAACAGTAGGAACTTGTAGATAAATTGGATCACCGTAAAAAGCTTTGTGAAACTGACGTTTCGGACGCTAGTCCTTCGTCGGAGTAAGTGGAAAGAAAAGATGRGAAGSGGTGAAAAAATACTAAGGTGGAAAATAAAGTGACCAATAAGAAATAAGCATATGAAGAAATAAAAGGAAACAAAAGGATCGAAAAAACAGTAAATGGGAAATGGAAAGCGAAGCATGAGAAATTAGCGTATGAAAAAACAAAAGGAAACTAAAAGGATAGATAGATAGATATTGTAAATAGACTGAGTTTGATTGTTGATTCTCTCCTTAGCCTGCTTAGCCTCCCCTCCCCTCCCCAAAACGCCGCTACGCAGGCTATTCTCTTCTTTGTTTCAAGGTTTTCCACTCACGCGGCGCAGGTTCTCCGTTCTCTTCCCTTCCGCAAAACCTCAACACTTCGAATTCCAAATTCTAATTCCCTCACAAAAAGAGAGTCAATGGTTTGTTTAGCTCAGTGTAGGGYCTATTGAGTGCTATTCTCAAATAACAAGCACGGCTTCAGCTCATTGCATAAAACCACAAGATTTTTATGGCTATATAGCTCCCATTATCAAGAAAAGAAAGTAAATAGGAGAGAGATTTTGAAATAAAGAAAAACGAAAAAATTGAAAAATATCAATTTTATGCACTGAAATGTTTTGGCACCGATAGCCTTTTAGTTTCAGTAATTTTCAGGTTACTCTGGAATCAAAGCTGATTATAACCACAATCGAAAGTATTCTGTTTCAGTTTTCCGTCTTTATCCAGCTTGTTTAGCTGTAATCTCAAGGTCRTCTAATATGCACAACGACATACCGTTCAACTGATTCCCATGTATTATCTAAAAATATCTAAACACACAGTTCTCTTGAGAAAAGGGTCAAAAATAAGCGGTTTTCAAATAGCTCTATTAGTCTGGAGCCAGTATTTCTAGTACTTAAAGTCAGCTAAACCAAAAGGCCAAATATTTCTAGAACAATGTGACCCTTATAAAGCCTAGGTGATAGGAGAATGATATTCATGACTAAAATCCAAAAATTGCGGCCTTGTGGTACTGACAAGGTGCATGGTCAATGTGACCKGCCAAACAAACTTAAACCAAGATCTCGTAATCAAAGTAATAAGTTAAATTCCAAGACGCACGTATAGCAGGAAGGTGAAACACCGAAACACGAAGCACAACATAATTTACATTATACTTAGAGGTTTCCTTACCTAAATGTCGCGGTTCAGGTCGTTTTGCTTTCTGGGGAATACCAACGACAGCAGGGCCAACAGGGCCGAGCATGTAAAAACTAGCACGGCGCGAACTAGTCATCGATAATAATTTAAAATATTCGCACAGTTGAATCAAGAAGTGTGTATATRCTAACGATAGTTACTGTTTCTGCTGCTGGCTGTAATGAATCTAAATACCGAAAAAGAACAATAGATATATGACGTCAAGATCGAAAACGAGGCGGTTTCCACTGAAACGGATACATTTATAAAATGTCGAAAGGAACTCGTAAACCGAGTGCAAAACGTCTTATGTATAAACGAAAAGGGATTGGCCAATACTGTATAYATAAATCCAGCTTCCTCCTTCGCGAGCAATTCTGTTTTTGGCGATTCTCTGTCAGGTTAGAACTGGATGTTCCATTTTCGTCCTCATCTTTTTTCCTTAGTTAATTCCTGGAGGTTGTTCTGAGGCTCCACTAGGCGTTATCAGGATAAAGAATGAATAAGATATATATATCTCTAATCGGGATATTGAAGTCGATTTCAATCAGAGGCATACGGGATTCGGGATTCCCGAAAGAAATCATGTAGGGGTATCGAAAGTGGACGCAGTGTCCGCAATTATGAAATAGTACATTTGATCGATGCGGGTAGTGGACCAGAGATACGGGACGGTCCTCCTTCACACGTATATTCCACAGAATTCGATAATGGACGAAGGACGCCCACAACTAGGTGTGAGGTGTGATAAAAGAAATTTCCATCTTGAAAATGGACGTTCATCATTCATTTTATTCATCTCGAAAAAASTGTGATTTCCTGCGGATTTTTTCCRCAATCATTTTATAATCCTGTGCGTGAGGTGAAAATATAATACTGACAGTCTAAAAGGTATRTATATAGGTTAGAGCTAACCGACCCGTGACKTGCGGCTCACGTCCTAAACGCATGAWGMAAAGCACGATAAATTCAATAACATTSAAATGATTCAAAACCATTGTAAAGATCCATCCAGACGAAATAGAATTCCGTCAGAACGTCAATTTTAAGAGCCTTAAATGTCGTGACGTCATATCAGGAACCGCCGTGATAATGAAACTGGTATGTCTTAACTTGCTCAAGCCTATATACAACTCCCATGAAACAATTGCGCTTTGTCCTTATCTTATAAAAGTAAAACTTCAGAAATTTAAATGTTATCGCTACCCTTAAACAACCTCTGGTCTAGGGGCATGGCTATCTCACAGGGTTAGCTCTGAAACAATCTCTGGGCTAATAAAAGTCAGGGCATGGCTAACTTGCAGATCGAATTGGAATTTAGCGTGTTAAGTTTTACAGAGGGAACCCGAAGAACCTAGAGAAAAACCCTCAAAACTTAAAACTAGAAAAACATTGATCAGCACGATGGACTATATTTACTCCACAAATTGGTAATCATGATCACTTCCGGTACGACGGAAGTGACTGTATTTCGATTTTATTTGACCTTGCTATATAGAATGGAACATTTTTCTTTTTCCGGTACGAAGAGTTACACCAGACCACGTGATTAAATATAGATAAAATACTACGCATGAAAARTAATAAAAAATACTGAGTTAAAAATTTAAAATTACTGATGACTTGAAATTTAATACAGGATTAGAATGCTAGATAACTCGTAAAACAAAAATTAAAAGTCAAATAGATGATAAATAAATGCGAAAACGTAATAACGTAAAATAGAAGTTAGTAAGGGGGAACACTCTACTAACTATGATAAAACCACTCTAAGATCTAATGTATTTCACAGGCTAAAAAATCACTAAAAATGTTCACGAAAAATAAAGATAAATTTCAAAATTCTAATAGACACAAAACAACGAATATAATATCTACTACCCACTATCACTCAAAGTAGAGTTACGTAATAAAATCATAGTCGGTATAGGGGGACCCCTCTATTAACTATGGTAAAAACACTCCTTAAAGAACCTATAAGCTATTTTACAGCCTAAATAAATCGCACTATATTCACGATAAAAATAGAGATAAATTTTTGGCTAATGAATTTATYCATCACGCCTCTATAATCACAGGAAAGCTGATATTGCAATACATATTACCGTAATCGAGATTGTTATCAATCATTCTGATCACGATCTTATTACTTTAATATTGGATGACACATAGTCATGTTAATTACAAAATATTCCTATTAATCTTTATAAGATAAGAAAGATAAGTTTGGCTTTAGGTATACCTTTTGCAAAATTTCCAGAAGATTATATTATTATTAAAACTTGGGAAAACAATAGCAGTGTTTGTAAACATTGTCTTAAGAGATTCAATTATGCTCACAGCGAAACGAATTACGCTCAAAAGTGTCTCACAACACAGCGTGTAACTATTATTAACTCAATAACGGTTTGGTGAAATTAAAGTGAATAAAGCACGATATCATATCGTGACTTACATATCTCTTTCGTGACTACCTCATGTTCGAGAGAAACCACTTTATAGATAAGCAAATAAATAACCTTGTGTGATGCCGTTTTACAAACGCYTTCCAGAATTTTCCAAAATGTTGCGTTAGTTGCCATCACTGTCACATAGCACTACCACAACCCTAACAGCTAACAACGATATAAACTCTAATATCGACTAATAATGTCTATTAATTCCTTACCTGAGCTGAACGAAGCAAGATCAAGGTTTCTGTCACATGGTTTTAGYGATCGACTTAAAGACGGTATACCACAAAAATACATAGTGTAGACTGTTCACCTTACAAACCTCCAGGGCTGTGGCCAACGAATTATATTGGCAATAAATCTGGTAAAGCTTTTCTCAAATTGATGATAATCTGTAGACTTTGAAATGAAAGCGCAGTTGAAGTCCGAGAAAACSAGCTCGAGATTATCTGTATCAACACTGAATATTTGAATCTTTTGAAGAGTGTTTCACAGTTGCGCGGTCTTGTGCTTAAATACAATCAAACCGCATTTCCGGTGCCTTTGAACTTCCGGTTCCACTGCGTCKCGCTTTTGAACCAAACGGAATCAAAGTAAAAACCGCGCGCTCTGTTGATGTCGGGAGGTACGGGTCAACATTTATTCAATCCTAGATGAAAATATTTATCAATCCTTTCGTTTGCTGGGTATAATTCCGACTTTAGATAACAAAGCAGGGTTAACCTTACACACCCTCTCACTGGCACAATCTCTTAATACTTGTTCTACCGAACAGTATCGCGATAACTGATAGAAGTGCTAGCCGTGAATTTGTTTCCTTCAATGTTGATGACGATGGTTTAGATCGGATATTTGAATCTTCGACTTTGTCATCACTAAACTATAATTTTAACGACCGGTGAACTGCGACGCGTAAAGATTATACACACGCGCGCTTTTAGCCTTGTTCTCACAAGCGACGAAAGCCTACGCAAGCCGACGCATCTCCGAGGTAGTGCATGTTCTCACTTTGAAACGAAGCGTTGCAAGCGCAAGACAACGGAAGATTTTGTTTTTCGTGCGTTGGCTTGGGCTTGTGCTTTTGCTTGCGCCGACTTGCGTCGCTAGTGAGAAGGAGGGTTTATTTTAAGGCTTTCCGTTTCTTCAATTCACACCCATGTTATAGTGCTTGAGAAAAGTGAGTCCAATTCTGGACTATTAAGCTAGGGGTCGACTTGCGGTAAGGTCCAGTATTTTTGGTTCTTATCCGAAAGGGCAAGGTATTTCAGTGGTTCAACCCTACTTGAAGTGGTCTTTTTGTGGCCGCTAAAACTTACGTAGGGAAAGAAAAATGATCTCCACGAACTTTCAGGTTAAAGCACAGCTACCAGCTGCCCGCACTGTTAGGAATGCGCCAACAAGATGATGTTTGGAAAACAGATAGATTTTCATTTCCTTATCACTCAGGCCAATCTGAAGGTTGTGCATTCCCAGTCTAACCTCTGGAGTCTCGGRTTCAATAGACCGTTTTCTCATGGTTGCGTGCGCATCCAAGTTTAAGGAACTTGTATACCAGAACACGAGTATTATTATGCATTGCTATTATTTTTTTTGATAAGAATTCTTAAAATAGATTATTYTCCTCTTTCAACATAAAACTGTCTTCTCAATCTTACTGAATTTGCGTTTTTCAGTTTTGTGGCCCGTCAAGTTGGATGCGCACGCAACCTTGAGAAAACGGTCTATTCCTGGATTCGGCGTCTCATGTGAGCAGAGTTTGTTGAGGTCTCTTCSGTTGAATTGATTCGAGTTTTCTCCAGGTTCCCTAATTTTCCTCTCTCCGCTAAATCCAACACACTAAATTCCAACATGATTTTTGAATAAGCTTATAGTCCCCCTCTACTAAATATGGTCAGCCGTACCTTGACTTGTTCATYCGAGGTTTTTTTTTCAGGGTTCAATGAGATTCGAGGTGCGTTTTTAAGGGCGTTTTATAAGAAAGACTAYATACTTACAACAATGTCCATCAAGTTATACGTTTGACGAGAAAAAACTATAAAGTGACCTCGATAAAAGATGAATAGATAAATGGGGCATATTCTTATCATTGAATTGGTGGGCCTTGACTTGATTGGTGTCAACACATGATGCATAGAGGGTCAATTCTCTGAAGYGATGACTTAGGCAACATTTAGAAATAGGTTGGAGTGATTGAACGAGTGCTTATTTACTGATTTCAGACCATCATCTCTTGGTGATTCTTTCGAAAGGGAGGAATAATACTCAAGGAAATGTCAGTGGAAAAGGTTACGACCAAGGTAAAACGGACCAGACGATGCTTCAATCAAATGCTAGAAAAGTTAGCATTTTGCCTTTTTATCATAGGAAAGTTTACTTGTAGCATTAATCTGGGAATGAACTCTTTATAAAAGCATCATAAATTACAATGTAGACACAAAAACGCCATTTAAAACATCTTTGAAAGCTTTAAAGTCGTCTTAGGACAATAAAATGTATTGATGGTTTTCACAGCCGCCATGTTGGTTCGTCATTAGTCTCTTGTTATATCATCCAACATGGCCGCCGTGTCTTTTGTTATTTCACACTCTTGGGAATGATTGTAAACCAGCAATGCTTAAACCTAGTTGCACTAGTAGCAAGAGAAGCCCTGGTGAATAAGTGAGTATGAGTATACTATTCCTGAACTTACTAGAAAGAATATACTAGACATAAAGAAGCTTTAATCGCAAAGCGTAAATTTTAGACTTTATAAAAAGTGCTGCAAAAATTATGACTGCCAAAATTATGTATTTTATACTACGAATCTATCCTCCATTGATGGAACTAGAAGCATTATGAAAGTATTATGTGTAGATGCGTCAAAAAAAAAACAAACGAACAAACAAACAAAACAAACAAACAAACAAACTTTGCTTGTTTGCGTAAAAAAGGTTTTTTTTCATCGTTTTCATGTACCCTGCGAGTAGAGCTTGAGTTTTCTTTCCCTCCATAGGGCTGAACAGCGCGCAGAGCCAGAACTGGACCAAACAGGGTATCGTCAAGTCATCGTCCAGTCATGAGGCTGAATACACAGAAACAGGCTCTGTATGTGTTCGTTTATTTTTATTTAGCTACTTGCCAAAAAAACCTCAATATTTCAAAAATTCCATCTTTCCATGTGCCAAAAAACCCCTTCAAAATGCCATCTTCACTATTACACTCTTTGCGAAGAAGAATATCCAGGAAAACCAGTTCCTGTCGAAGCTAAAATCTACAGCTAGACTTCTATTAGACTCGTTGTTCWAATTCCTTAAAGCGGTGTTGTTTGATCTTTGTCTTCCTTTTCATCAACCTTCAAAATGATACCTTGACTTTCACCCTCATTGATGTAGTCTGGTAGTGGCTTGCCTTTCGTCTCTGGAAGGAAAAACGTCACGACACCGGCTGTCATGGACGCAATTCCGAAGATTATGGCAGGAAAAATCGGAGGTGTGCTATCCTGTAATGAAACATCAAATGATTATTAGGTGTTGCGTCCTCAAAATTTAGATACAAATTGCCCTATTTCATAATGACGTCAAATCAAAACAAACTATTGTTTTAACACTAGGGATCATGGCCACTGGAGGGGGGTGGAATCTTAAATCACAATGAAATTTGGTTTATGAGCTAGTGAAGGCAAGAATAACTAAATATTACGCTAAATATCTCGAAAGAAGATAATTAAGCTTAAATTAAGCCTAAATTTCTATCATTTTAGCCGATGTAAACAAACCGTGACGTCATTATG